AAGACGACGCCCTGTAGTTTTGGCTTCGAGGTCATTTTAGAAAACCCTATTCAGCTTTATCGAGTTACTGTAGAGGTAAAAGACATCAATGATAACAGTCCATCATTCCCCAAAGATGAAATCAACTTGAAAATAGTTGAAAACGCAGCAGCAGGGACACGCTTCTCTCTTGAGAGTGCAGACGATCTGGATGTTGGTATCAATGACATACAAAAATACATACTGAAACCATCAGATCATTTTAAATTAGAGGTGCAAAATCAGCCCGATGGAGCCAGATTTATCGAAATGGTTTTAGAAAGTCCGTTGGACCGAGAGAAAGAGGAGACTCACTCACTGGTGCTGATCGCTTCAGATGGCGGGGAGCCACGCAGATCAGGGACTGTTCGCATTCATATAACTGTACTGGATGCTAACGACAACGCGCCGGTGTGTAACCAGCCAGTTTATAAAGTAGATGTCAAAGAAAACTCACCGGAGGGAACAATAGTCACTACGGTGAGCGCGAGCGACGCAGATAAAGGAATCAACGGTGAGGTGACATTTTCCATCGCTCATGTTGCAAAAGAAGCAAAACAACTGTTTGATGTGAACATTAAGACTGGGGAGATTAAAGTTGTAGGCAAATTAGACTTTGAAAAATCGAAGTCATATCAACTAAACGTCCAAGCTAGTGACCACGGAGGATATACTGATACGTGTAAAGTTATCGTTCAAGTAATTGATGAGAATGACAACGTTCCCTCAATACAGCTCATGTCTTTTTCTAACTCGATATCCGAAGATTCTCCTCCAGGTACAACCATAGCTGTTATTAACGTAGATGATGAGGACTCTGATAGTCACGGTGTTGTCAAGTGTTCCATCAGCTCCGATGTCCCCTTCAAAATTGAGTCTTCATTAACAGGGTATTACACGATTATAACAGAAGGCGAGTTAGACAGAGAGAGCGTTGCAGAGTATAACATCAGCATTACGGTGTCTGATCAAGGCTCCCCGCCTCTTTCTAGCAGTAAAAGCATCAACGTCAAAGTTTCTGACGTGAATGACAGCCCACCAACATTTTCCAAATCAGAATACACTATGACTATACCAGAGAATAATTCTCCTGGATTTTCTGTGTTTACTGTCAGTGCTGGTGATGCTGACTGGGGTCAAAACGCTCGGGTGTCTTACTTTCTGGAGGAAAAAGAGATTAATGGGGTGGCTGTATCATCACTGGTGTCAGTGAATTCAGAGAATGGTGTCATTAATGCCGTGAGATCACTTGATTATGAACAGATCAAATGGTTTGAATTCAACGTGACTGCTCGTGACGGTGGCTCCCCTCCTCTAAGTTCTGTTGCCACAGTGAGAGTAATAGTCCAGGACCAGAACGATAACCCCCCTCAGGTTCTGTACCCAGTGCAGACCGGTGGCTCTGTGGTAGCTGAAATGGTGCCTCGTTCAGCAGATGT